ATTTTCGGAAATTCGGACATTTGGATGTATCTGAATTCCGAATTACAGCTATAATGAATACAAACGAATCCGAATTTCCGTTTCCGAAATTCATTAGTGGTAGTTCGTCCGAACATTCGTTTCATTTTCGTTTAGTTCGTTGGAGCAAAGTGACATTAGTGAAGGAGAACGAACGAACGAATGAACGAAATGGATAAGAAACGAAAACGAAACGAACGTTCGAACGGCAGGGGGAAATGCCTCACCGTGAGCAGACTCCACTGCTATACGTTATGTATAGCACAGTGATGATGTCATTTCTACTTTTTCAAAGTATTGGTGCACACAAAGTGAACTTCTATGCTTAGCAGCTATTGAGGAAAATAGAAAAGTTTTTGTTCCCGCAGTTCATCTCATAACTTTTGGAGGAGCATTTAATCATTATTAATTGGCTGACCACTAACTAGTTTGTAAATAAGCTATTTCCGTCACTCATTTAATCACTAAGACCCGGGCACGGTTCATACATAACTGTGGCTACTACATGCCACAGGTTCTCCTCTGGGCTACCTAGTTAATAATACAGAGGTGACGTCTGAAGGAGAAAATGACGACCCCGTCATATTAATGTTACTATTTGTAGGCTTTTAATTGATCGGACTGTAAAAGAGTCGGAACCAAGCCGTGCAATCTTATTAATGTTCTCATTAATGTGAAGTACCGGAGCTTAAAGGCGTTAAAGTGGTCTGTCTGGCAACCAGGTTTAATAAATTAACGCCGTCATTACAGTCTTTTCACCGCCCTAATTGAAAGGAAATATGTTTGTCTTCTGGTTTTCCGAAGCATAATAGCGCGCATCACTCTCTTTTACATATCTGTATTTCTTAATGAGCGAGTCTGCAACACTGCGGAGAACTATCGGGATGTTAATTACGGAAGCTGATTGCTTCTGCATTGTTTCCTGATTGTGATTTATTCGCGGTCCTGTAAATCAGAACCTTCCCTTTGGAAAGCGGTCCAGGTGCTGGAGTATCAAAGAAGAGCGGCGCTATTGTTCTGCGCGTCCTTTGTCAAAAATATATCCCTAATCCTACCTCTGTAGCGCGCGCCGGATACTTATGAGGAGGGTCAGTGCAATGGATGTTACCGTCGCACAATACGGCGGCAATAAAGAGGAGCTTTATGGAGCGTCTGCAACAAAACGTATTAACAACATTCTCATTTTAGTTATCACAAAGAGAGTTATTTACCTGTCTGGGTTAAGAAAGCTTCTGTCAGTAAAGTGCGTGTAAATCTTAACAATGAACGCCTCTTATTTCCTCCCTTATGGTCTGTTAAATAAACTGCTGAAAGAAATCCGAAGAGCTCATAACTTCCCTTCAACTATAAAGCGTTATTTTCTTTTAGGCCTGCACATGTTACCTCTGGGAACTACAGAATACTCTCTCATGTTATGTAGATGAGGAGAAGGGGGGGTGTTCTGTAGTCCTGGCACACTTCCTGGTGACAACTAGGTATGCACTGATACCAATACTAATATCGGTATCGGTGGCGATGCCTAGTATTTGGGCGAGTACTCTTACTCGCCCAAATGCTACGATGCCTAGCCCAATACCTGAGCTTCCGATATCAGGAAGCCAGGCAGCGAGTCATTACACGCTGCCCGGCTTCCTGATTGGCCAGGAAGCCGACTCCATGCTCCCTCATCCCTTGGTGACGAGGGAACATGGAGCCAGCTTCCCGCCAAATCAGGAAGCCGGGCAGCGTGTAATGACTTGCTGTCTAGCTTCCGGATTGGTCGGAAAACGGCTGGCCAAACAGGAAGCCGGATGGCAAGTCATTACCCTGTGTAATGACTTGTTGCTTGACTTCCTGATTGGCGAGCTTTTGACCAATCAGGAAGCTGGGCAACGAGTCATTACACGGTGCCCGGCTTCCTGGTTGGCCAGAAAGGCGGCTCCATGCTCCTTCGTCACCTGATGATGAGGGAGCATGGAAACAGCTTCCTTGCTTATGCGGAAGCCTATTGTCGAGTCTTTACAAGCTGCCCTGATTCCTGGCTAATCAGGAAGCCAGGTGACGAGTCATTACACACCGCCTGGCTTCCGTAATGGGACTTCCGGTATCGGTATTCGGTATCAGCGAGTACCGAATAAAAATTATCGGTACTCGTACTCAATACAGAAAAAACGTTATCGGTGCATTCCTAGTGATAAAATTGCTCCCCTGTAGATAGAGCCCAGGGAGGAGGCATTGTCACCCTTGGACATGAAGGGGCTGATTTATAAAGGCTTAATTATTTCCACTAGATGGAGCCACAGAAGCTTTGAAATTGGCTATGCTCCTCAGCTCTACCTAGCGGTAGTAATTTCCTATGCTTCTAGGCTCCACTTGGCGGTAGTAATTTCCTATGCTCCTAGGCTCCACCTAGCGGTAGTAATTTGCTATGCTCTTAGGCTCCACCTAGCGGTAGTAATTTCCTATGCTCCTAGACTCCACCTAGCGGTAGTAATTTGCTATGCTCTTAGGCTCTACCTAGCGGTAGTAATTTCCTATGCTCCTAGACTCCACCTAGTGGTAGTAATTTCCTATGCTCTTAGGCTCCACCTAGTGGTAGTAATTCCCTATGCTCTTAGGCTCCAACTAGCGGTAGTAATTTCCTATGCTCCTTGGCTCCACATAGTGGTAGTCATTTCCTATGGTCTTCTGTGTCATCTAGTGGCAGTAGTTTCCTATGCTCCTCAACTTCATCTATTGGTTGTAATTTGCTTTGCTCCCTGGCTACATCTAGTGGCAGTAATCCTGCAAAAAGGGTGTTTACCCAGCTGTTTGCTGGGCAAACCCATTATAAATCAGCCCCAAGTATGTTACTGGCAGGTGAAAATAAAGGAAACAAATGGAAAAAAGACACGGCGCTCTCTTGGGAGTGTGGGGTCTGTGTAGGTGCAATCGATCAGGATTGCTGCTCTAAGAACAGGGGGAGAAACCTGTGAACATGGAAAAGAGGCAATAAGAGCGCAAATCCTGGGAGTGTGGAGGGTGTAGGGGCAATCAGTGTCTATGTGTGATGGGTGGAGAGGACAAAAAGTAAAAAAACAAAGGATTAGGAACTTACTTGAGGAGCCGAAGGTCCTAACAAGGAGGGTCCTTCCAAAGTATTAGCGATGCGAGATGTATTCGGTGTCTCCCAGCAAGTGAAGGGGTGAATGAAGAACCAGTCTGAACTGAATGCTGTGTGTGCCAAGGGGCTAGTGAAGAAGATGCCTATGGTCTTGATCGCGGTGTTCTTGGGACGTGATGGAGTGAAAGTGACAGAAGGCTGGGGAAGAACGTGCATGGAACGGTAGTGAAGGAGCGACGCGTTTCGAGGAGATCTTCTTTCTCAAGCTCAAATGGTAAGGTAAAGGGAAATCTTACCTTTGGCACACACAGCATTCAGTTCAGACTGGTTCTTCATTCACCCCTTCACTTGCCGGGAGACACCGAATACGTCTCGCATCGCTAATACTTCGGAAGGGCCCTCCTTGTTAGGACCTTCAGCTCCTCAAGTAAGTTCCTAATCCTTTGTTTTTTGACTTTTTGTTCTCTCCACCCATCACACATAGACACTGGTTGTCCCTACACCCTCCACACTCCCCGGAAAATAAAGGAAACAAAGCCTAAAAGAAGAAACCAAATGCAGTCACCCCTATCCATGATCCTTGGTGCCATCTAATGGTGGGAATACCATGCGAACGACATACGCCCAGCTTTACCCAGGTCAGAAGGTTTATACGTCAGCCTCATAGTGTATGGCCAGCTTAAGAGATATAATCAAATGTAGATAACCATAGGTTCTACATAGATTAACCTGATTTACTCCAAAAATTGTTTAATTCATTAGAAGGAGCGAAGAAACATTTGTAAAAGGAAAACCACTGGAGTTACTGTTAAAGAGAAGGTACTTGGGAATAACAGCACATGTGCACTGAATATGTTATGTATAGCCAAAAAAAAAAAGAAGTTTTCTTAGTTTTGCATGGAGTAGGGAATGGGTAATAAAACATGCTGGTTTATGGTTTCATGTCTGTATCCTATTAGGGGATACCCCTTCACTTCCTGTCCTGGAGACACAACAGGAAGTGAAAGGAAATCTCCCCAGATGTATATCTATTTTTATACATCACTGATCAAATTTAATGGATTAATATCCTTTATACACAATTTTCACATTGTATTTAAATTGATGATATTGATTTTTTGAGATACACCCTTTATTGAATTTTCGAGTTATATTTTTCATATACTCTTCAATTGTATGCTTCAAACCTCGATCCCAACGTTTGATTTCTCATTTATCCATATATGAAGGACGGTTAGCGCTGTACCTTTTAAAAACACATCCTATACCAGTGGCCGAGTGCTTTAGTCCAGCAGCTTCCCATACCCTTCTAGAACAATTAAATTATACATAATTTTTATTAATATTAATATTTAATAATTTGTATTAACAATAATATTTTAATAACAATGTATCATTGTATAAATATCATAACATTTTAAACATCCCAAAAATTTTTTTGGGTTCTAGAGTTATCCAATTAATATCCTCACTCTCCATTAGCGCAAGTTCTTGCAATTATTAATCCTTATCAAATAGCTGAACTCACTAAATACCTATTTATCCACAAAGAGCTTTATTCTATGCAGCAGGTTACAGCAGACAACACCCTACACCAGATGAATGAATTGGCTGTATTTAAGGCGGTCAACGAAGATAAAGTTTGCAAGCAGGCAATGCAGTTTAACATGTGGTCCTATTACCTTCGGCCATGATTCTCGACACTGAGCAAGAAGCGGGAAATACATCCTAGATGGGAGGGAACACAGAAAACACGTGCAATAACCAAGTGCAATAACTAAAATGACCACAAGATGGCAGCACACGAATTAACCATACAATATCAATTAGAAAATGGCTTAAGTATTTATATATTTATATTGCTCTGTTTATCTGTGGAATCTCATCTTATTTCATACAGTGGAGACCAGGGTATACTTACTAAAGAAAAACACCAGGATGAAGACTGTCGCCCATCAGTCATTACATACCATTGTCACAACAATAACTCGAAAGCTTACGATTCCCGGCAGAAGGAACACAAAATAGCAAGGAAGAAGCTCTACATCGCAGCAGCCATTTGCTTCACATTTATTGTGGCAGAAATTGCTGGTAAGAAATTGTCTTTTTTTTTGTTTCAAATAAGTTTTATTACGTTTTTGTAATACAAACAAAGTAAGAAGATAGTTCACAGTACAATACCGCACAAAATGTAATTTGAAGAAGCGAATTGGTAACAGTAACATTCAAGATATAAGCAACTAGATTATAAGCACGGTAACATTAGGAATTCAGTGAAAGCGTGAACAGGTCCCATGTCGTAGGCACAATGAAAATTGTTGCTAAACTATACTAGGAATCTATAATAATGGGTATGAAAAAGGAGGTTATATTTCTCTCAATAATGAAAACCAGCATTTTGTCAAATCCCACAGTAACCCTAGGCATAAAAGTAGCAGGGGGACCCGTAAGGAAAGGAATCAAGTAAAGGAACAAAAAGAAATGAAGAAAGTAACGTGTAGTAGTTACGTAGATGGATAAGGGAGGGAAGGGGGAGATAAGGGAAGTGAGGAAAGTGGTGATTGTGCGGGTTTTATTTATTTATTTATTACAGCTATTTATATAGCGCCGGCAATTTACACAGAACTTTACATACACTATATTACCAAAAGTATTGGGATGCCGGCCTTTACAAACACATGAACTTTAATGGCATCCCAGTCTTAGTCCCTAGGGTTCAATATTGAGTTGGCCCGCCCTTTGCCGCTATAACAGCTTCAATTCTTCTGGGAAGACGTCCACAAGGTTTAGGAGTGTGTCTATGGGAATGTTTGACCATTCTTCCAGAAGCGCATTTGTGAGATCAGGTACTGATGTTGGACGAGAAGGCCGGGCTCGCAGTCTCCGCTCTAATTCATCCCAAAGGTGTTCTATCTGGTTGAAGTCAGGACTCTGTGCAGGCCAGTCAAGTTCCTCCACCCCAAACTCGCTCATCCATGTCTTTATGGACCTTGCTTTGTGCACTAGTGTGCAGTCATGTTGGTGCTTTACACCACTGCATCTGACACTTTGCATTGCACTTGGTGATGTAAGGCTTGGATGCAGCTGCTCGGCCATGGAAACCTATTCCATGAAGCTTTCTATGCATTTTTGTTGTCCCAATCTGAAGTTTGGAGGTCTGTAGCTATTGATTCTGCAGACAGTTGGCAACTTCTGCGCACTGTGCGATTCAGCATGCGCTGACCCCGCTCTGTCATTTTACGTGGCCTACCACTTCGTGGCTGAGTTGCTGTTGTTCCCAGTTGCTTCCACTTTGTTATAATACCACGAACAGTTGACCGTGGAATATTTGGTAGCAAGGAAATTTCAGGGAACACCTGAATCCAATGATTTGGAGGGGTGTCCCAATACATTTGGTAATATAGTGTAGTTGCACATTCACATCAGTCCCTGCCCTCAAGGAGCTTTCAATATAAGGGTCCCATCTCACATACAAGGGCCAATTTAGACAGGAGCCAATTAACCTTCCAGCATGTCTTTGGGTTGGGAGTGGAGGGCGAAAGGTCAAGAGGTGGGAGGCGTATGGGCCTGGTTGAAAGGCAAGGCGTGACAGAAAATGGGGACTGGTCCGACGTATCAGAGCAATTTTGTGTTCTTTTTAACCTGGCTTTAATAAATGTCCCCAGTTATCACTATCTGCCATAACCCAAAAAAACATCGTAACCATTTAAAGTGGAGGTGTGTTTTTGCTTTGTTGACTCTTGTTCTTTCCGGAAATTGGTCATACACATTATTGTCTGATTGTACAATTTTTCCTGTAATGCCGGGGGTTGCCTAAAAAATGCAATGCACACGTTACAATCTATTTTAGATCTACCGACAAGTATGTAGTTCAAGGGCCTTTCTATCTGGGTACAGATTGATTGGAAATATTAGGTGGGTCCTCATATTACATAATTTTGGTAAATCTAAAGGTGATTGGTCAAAGACTGTATGGTCAGATTGTAATGTGAATAGTGACCCTAGGGTGTATGGTTATCATAGGCAGGGTCGAAGCTGGGGGTGCTGCGGGCATGTGCCCCAGGTGTTGCTTTAGGAGGGGTGCCACTGGGTGTGTGGATGGAAAACTTTTCCCTTGGGGGGGAGGAGGGGGCAATTCTGAGCCTTTGCCCTGGGTGACAGAATGTCTAGCGTCTCCACTGATCATAGGAGTGCTGATTCTGTCTCTTTATTTCCAGGCGGATATATGGCAGGAAGCCTGGCAGTGGTGGCGGATGCAGCCCATCTCTTTGTGGATTTGTCCAGTTTCCTGATCAGCATCTGTTCCCTGTGGTTGTCTTCGAAGCCGGCAACAAAAAGACTCACTTATGGCTGGTACAGAGCGGGTAAGAGTGACCACAGATAGGGAAATCTCTATCTAAGGCTGGGAGGTGTTGACGGGTTTTACCCCTGATGGAGCTGAGCTCTACTGGGCCTACTGAGTTTAACCCCTTCGTGACTGACGACATACAGTGTACGTCGCCAGCATCGGGGCTGTTTAAACAGACTCCCGGCGACTTTTGCCGCCGGGAGTCTGTTTAAACTTGTAGAGCCGACTGTCGGCTTTACAACAGAAGCGATCCTGGCGACTTACCTGTCGCCAGATCGCTTCTGCGTCCCGAAGAAGGGGCCG